TGTATGTATATATATGTATATGTATATGTATGTATATATGTATGTGTATATATATATGTATATGTATGTATATATGTGTGTATATATATATGTATGTATGTATATATATATATGTATATATATATATATATGTATATGTATGTATGTATATACGTATATATATATGTATATGTATGTATATATATATATATATATATGTATATATAATTATTAGCTGATATTTGGGTTTGGTTTTTTTTGTTTGTTTTTTGTGATTGTTCACACTGTTGTTTAATCGTGACCATGTTTCAGACACTGTAAACCAGCGCTCTCTAACCTATTTTGCGCCAACAGATTGTTTAAATGTCTGACAAGTTTTTCACCGGCTGGCCTTTAAGGTGTGGCGGATGAATACAACTCGAGGTGCTCGTATCTCAAAACATTTTTTTCCTATAAGAAATAACAGGAAAAAAAACAAACAACGAATCCGTTTCGGGCCTCTAAAATTGCTATAGATACATTGTTTACTTTTCACTGACTTGAAACGTGTCTGCGATGCTTGTTTTTGTCTATTCTGGGGTTTAGTAAAATGTTTGAAAATGTAATGTTCCTTAAGGAATTCGAAATCTCAGACTCTTCAGTTTTCCATGCCTGCAGTTACCTTCCTCTGGGACAGATGATTTTTTTTTTTTAAAAAATATCATTTTCATGATTTTCCAAAGTTATACAAAGTGGTACTCTACCAGCAGTTGGAGACTGTGACAAGGTGTTGACAGAGAATATAGTCACGTTATCAGAGAAACCTAAATTTAAGAAGATGAGTTGAGGCTGTGTTGAGCAATAAAACGGGAAATTGAAGGCTGAAAAAAAACAGACAACATTGATGTTTTGTCTTTGGCAGACTGCGAACACAAGTATTGCCCCAGGTTCTTACTTCTCTTTGCTGATTATGCTGCCAACGTAGATTAACGCTTCTTGTCCACGATCAGCTGCTCCTGCCTGAGGAAAACTTAAAAGGATTGCAGCAGATTAACAAAAAAAAAAATTCTCTATCATTTGATTTACATCACAAACATTCCTGAACTTCCTCCTGCTCCTCCTTCCCCTTCGGATATTTTGCATCCTCAACCTTACTGCTTCTCCCTGTCTAACTCCATCTTCTCTCTGCTCCGTGTTCTTATTCATCAGAAGCCGTCGTTACGATGAATGGGGGGGAAAAAATCAGATGAGGCGCCCTCTGGCTCGCACCTGTGGGAGGTGAGAGGGAAGGTGGTGGTTTCTTTCCAGGACAAATTCCTTATTCATGGCCTCCGTTCCTGGTAGTTCTGAAGAGGTGCTGTTCTTCTGTCCAACAAGGTACCCTTCAATATTTTCTTCTTTTTTAAAACATCTTACGGTATTTCTGATTCTGACAAACGGTATACATTGAATTATACATGTACATTGACTGTACATACATATGCAGTATTAAGCTACATGGTGCAGTCAGGCCTGTTAACGAATACTCCATTGCGCTCTCTGCTCACTGATGTTCTCTTTAAAATTCCATGTACAGTTAAAGCATCTGATCTGGTTCTAGCCAGTCTGACGTCTCTGCGGTTTTTTTTTTCCCCTTCTACATGTGAATTATGTAGTGCTGAGGGAGAGAACAAGCAGCGACAGTGATGTTCTGCAGGAGAAATGTGCTGTGGATGTTGTTTTGTGCAGGTGTTAGAACTTCTTTCGTTTCTTTTCTTCCTGACACTGCAGCTGTGGATGTATGTGCACATAAGTAACGTGTGTTTTCGTGTTTTTTCGAGTATACACAGAAGGAAAATGAACTCAGAGAGAGTCAGTTTTCCACCTTTAGTCACAAAAACAACAACAAATATATCTGGATTTAAAAAGGAACTGACGAAGTCTCAAAGCTGCAGCTCTCTTTTTTTCTTTTCTTTTTTTTTCTAAAGCTCAAATATTATCAAACAGGTCTATATATGTGCCAAAATTTCTGGACTATAACCCGCTACGATTTTTTTTACGTGTTTTGAACCCTTCAGCTTAAACAATAATGCGGCTAATTTATGGATTTTTACGCGCTAACGAAGTTAGTATTGCTTGCGATCAGTGACTTTTCTGATAGGCTAACTCTGGTGTTATACTAGTAGCGTATGTCTGTCTGTGAATGGCTGTGTGCGTATATGTGCGAGGGGCACGAGAGAGAGAGAACGGTAAGCGAAAGTTGAGAGCAGTTTGAGTCCTGTCATGTTGAAGCGCGAGTTGGTTATACAGGAGCTGTTAAAACTCTGTTTATGTTCAGTTGTGGTCGGAGGGGCTGATAATAAAGACCCCAACTTCCCTGTTTCTGTTTACCTCTGCTGTGGACAGGCGCAAAGTAAAGGGAGTTAGCCCCGGGAGCTAACGTTAGCCTCAGCCCTGGAGCTAACGTTAGCTTCAGCCCTGGAGCAGATCACTAAGTCTCCCCTGGGCATTCCAACTACGGTCGGGGCACCGAAGCGGGAAAGAGCTAACGTGTAACCAGCCGTGTTTCAGGCACCAATTAATTTGTTCCAGCCCCCAGAAATATACTATTAATTAATTAAATTAAAATCCCACTATCTACTCATCAAAAACATAGATATAAACAAATAGATTGATAATATAAAATAATAATAATTAAGAAAATATTTTTCTATTATTGTTATAAAAATTGGGTAGAATAACTCAGGGAGGGACAGTGAGTCAGCACGATACAGTGTTGGGCCACTAAGCGTAGGAGAAGAACTGGGAGTGAGGACTCGATTAAGATGATAGAGAGAGAGAGAGGGTGAGAGAGAGAGAAATAAAGTGACGGGTAAAATAACCCAGTGAGGGACAGTGAGCGAAACAGCACGACAGAGTGTCGAACCACTAGGATAGGAGAAGGACTGGAAGTGAGGACTCGATTTAGATGATAGAAAGAAAGAGAGAGAGAGAGAAATAAAGTGACGGGTAAAATGACCAAGCGAGGGACAGTGAGCGCGACAGTGTTGAGTAGAAAAATGAAGATTGGTTGAGCACTCGTAACTAGATCACAAGGAAAATCTTGCAAAAATCCTACTCCTAGCATACTTTTGTGCCTATTATGTTTCATTCATTTCATTCAGCTTTAATACAGTATTCCTGGAGCCTGACGAAACTGATTTAATAATTTGTATTCTGTTTCACATTTCAGTGTCTCGAGAATCTGATTTACCTTTGAATATTTGAGAGACTCACTCGTACGTCGGGCTAGTTAACGTATGGTTTCCATTTTGCTAACTTTGGGACCTCAAGACAGTACAAATAAACTCAACGATCACCAACATAAGTTGCAAAGGTAACGGTAGCATTAGTCAAAAACAAAGCAACGTAGCAACATCGAATCCTTTAGGATGTTCAGGGTTTCGGTCACATGCAGTGACCGATGTCAATCAGACTGTGAGTTGTCTGTGCGTCTCCCTCCCCTTCTGTCGGTGTTAATCAGTGTGATCACACTCTCCTGTGTCCCGTGATTACCTATTCAATGGTCTCACTCACCGTGTCACCCAGTGAGTTTTTGTTATTTTGCAGATTGTTAATAAATTGGGGCAAAATGGAGCAGTGGTGGTTTAGCGGTTAAGAAAGCGTATTTGGGTCCGGATGGCTTCAGGTTCGAGTCCACCAGCTGCCAAATTACCACTGAGGTGCTCTGAGCACCGTCCCCACACACTGCTGCCCCCCTGTTCACTTTGGTGATGGGTTAAAAGCAGAGGTCACATTTGGTGGTGTGCTGTGTCACAATGACAAGTAGTGCTTTCCTTTCCTGTACTGGGATGGACTCTCGGCTCAAGCAGACGCCAGAGAATTAAAGATGAAGGAGGCGTTTGCCAACGTGAATGCCCTGTTAGCCCCTGTGCTGCGGACCCGCAGATGGGCAACCCCCGGCAACAGCCGCTGTTACCGTCGCACACACACATTTATGTGCCGCCGCTGCTGCAGCTGCTCTCGTGTGCGACCGCAACAATGTGCGCTGGCAGTTGCTCCTGTGTGGCCTTTTTGGAGATAAAGTTGGATGTTGAGCTGGATTGAGAGGCAGTGGATATATCGGACAATGGATGTTGGAGATGCCAGGCAGGAGAAAAAAAAAAGAAAAAGACCTCAGAAGAGATTGGTGGATGATGTGAAAAAGGACTTTGAGATGGTTGGTGTCAAAGCAGAGGAGATGGATGGATGGATGGATAGATAGATGGATGGATGATAGATGGATGGATGATAGATAGATGGATGGATGGATAGATGGATGATAGATGGATGGATGATAGATAGATGGATGGCTGGATGATGGATGGATGGATGATGGATGGATAGATAGATAGATAGATGGATGGATGGGTGGATGGATAGATAGATAGATGGATGGATGATGGATAGATAGATAGATAGATGGATGGATAGATAGATAGATGGATAGATAGATGGATGGATGGATAGATGATGGATGGATAGATGATGGATGGATGGATAGATGGATGGATCGATCGATCGTTGAATCAAAAGCCAGTAAAGTGTAAACACCAATAGGGAACGACCATCGACTCAGTTCAGGATTATTGCCTAAAATTAGCTAAATGCTAGTACAAAAAAAACTACTGAAGCTTGGCTAAATATAAATGACCTTCAAAGGTCGTCAACTACAGATAAATGTGTTTTTACCAGAAGCACAGGAGTATTATAATAACGACACACGCCCCCCCCCCCCCCCCCCCCCCGTTTTATCCATAAGACGATAAAACGTCCACATTGCCTCATATATAGAGACATAGGTCTCTGGAGCTGCTGCTTTTTTCTCTCTCTGTTATATCCTCCTGCTCACACTGACGTATTCTCTTCATAGAGCCCCTTCCACAGACACTCAGAGGGACTGAATAACCTGAACCAGGTTTTTGGTCCTCGGGCAGTTTTTTTTCCCTCTTCTCTCTTAATTAGACGTCCTTCTAAATCTCTAACGCTCCTGATGTTTGACACGACCCGCTCTAATAACTGTGGAGATTAAACGTGATGAAGAGTGTTTGGTGAAGGATAAGAGGCTTAGGATATAGCCTGTGAACTGATGTGAGGCTGAAGGGTGAATATGAAAAAAAATAAGGACTAGAATTCCTTTCTGTTGGTAAAAGTAATGCCTGGGGGATTTAACGTGTTAACCAGAATAGAACTCAGGTCTGTCCCTGCAGAGTTCATTGCAGTGTTGGCTTAGCTTTCACCTTTGAATACATGACCTTTGAAGAGCACATGTGCAGACGATCAAATACCCAAGATCCACACAGTCTTTTCTACAGTCATGTTTCACTCAAACCTGATCAATCATTTGGACATTTTCTGGTTCCAAATACTGTTTATCTTAGACCTTGAAAAGGCTGATGCATGATTTTGACACCTGGCCATTCAGAAAACTGAATACATGGCTTACAGCAGCACCTCGCAAATAGTGGGGGCGGGCCACCCTGGGGAAGTGTGGTTGCGCTGGACAGAAGTGTACCGCTGCTGTGATGCTTGAACTAGAAACAAGCCTCCAGGCATGACAGAAAATAATTGAGGACCACTGGCTTACAGAAGCCTGGTGAACTAACAGCCAAAGGTCTCCTGATCTGTCCAATTGCCCAATAGTCAGAAAACCTGACCTCTGTGGGTAGAGAGCTAACAGATGTAGCTAACAGGTCCAGGCAATAGAAGACCCTGAAAGGTGCAACTAAGAGGCACAACTTATTCATGTCCAACTGACGGTCAAATGGCTAACAGGTGGCGCTATAATGTGTAGTTGCACTGATTTCAATTTCCTAGCTTTAGCAGTCGTTCTGTCCCCGTGTACATCGGCATATTCTCTGTCTGCCGAAAACACATTTCTACATACAGCTGACTGCTTCTTTAGTGTTAACTCACAGAGATACACTGTAATTTCTGAACTATTGAGCGCACCTGACTATAAGTCGCACCCACTAAATTTAAAAAGGAAAAAATAATTCTACATATATAGGCCGCACATCTCTATAAGCCGCAGATGTCCACATTGTAACATGGGATATTTACGCAGAAAGATGTTGTTTCCACTTTTAATTAAATAAATGTTTTTTTTCCAAACAGTGCCTGTAACACAGCTAGTTACACGTTAGCTCTTTCCTGCTTCGGTGCCCCCGACCATAGTTGGAATGCACAGGGGAGACTTAGTGATCTACTCCAGGTCTGAAGCTAACATTAGCTCCCGGGGCTAACTCCCTTCACTTTGTTTTTGTCCGCAGCAGTGGTAAACAGAAATAGGGAAGTTGGTGTCTTTATTATCAGCCCCACCGACCACAACAGAACATAAACAGAGTTTTAACAGCTCC